GCTTCAGCCATCGTCCAGCATCTTTAAAAATATCATTCCCTTTCTAAATCTTCTACTAATTAGCTGATTAACTTTGTTTAACGCACTGGTAATGCACATGTATCATCCTATGGATAGTTTTTGGGGAACCCTTTCCCCCCCCAAAGAAAATCCCAAAGGTTTCCAAAATTGGGGGGTTTTTTTAATTTTTTGGGAAAAAAAAAAAAAGAACCCGCTTCCTTTTTTTTTTTCAGAATCCCAAATCATATTTTATTGGAAAACAACTTTAATACTTTTGTGTGTATTGCCCTGCCCTGCTGGATTGTCTGCTACGTTCGTATCATTTTGGCTAATCTTTACCATGCGTCAGATCTTTATTACTTATTCGCCTCTAAAAATATCCGTTCTTTATTAACTTATTCCCTTAAAATATCGTTCCTTTCTCACCTTCTACTAATTATGAATTACTGTTTTCACCACTGGTAATGCACGTGTACCATCCCACTGGGACTACCCACTATTGACTTCAGATCCAGTCAATATTTTATGGAAAATACTCATTACTTGTGTGTTATTGCCCTGCACGGCTGATTGATTGTCTTCTATCTCAAACTTCAATACCACTGCTAGTTGGTGCTTACATGGGGCTCCTTTGTTACCATCTTTGCAAGTACATAGTTCTAGTAGTGTATTCACTTCATACTCCGTGTGCTCATCCAGGCTCTTTACGAGAAAAATGGCTTCACCCAGTTTGGCAACACTGAGATTCTCTGTTTCCTCTTTAGGAACGTGATACCTTGATCTTGCCTTATTTAAACTTCTGTTTCCTAAAAAGTCTGCAAGTTTTCTTTCAAAAAATGAATCATACCTTGTAGTGAGGAAATGAAAGAGTTGAACAACATTGTATGCCTTAACCCTCTGCAGTACCTTATTCTTAATGGTCCTGAAATTTGATACTTTGATATTGTTAGAGCTGTGATCTCCAGTTAATATGTGATGTGTGAATGCTGGCATCCATTCTTCAACTCGGGTTTGCATTTTTCTAATATAATTTACAATGTTGGGATATATTTTAACAACATCACTAGAAATAATATTTTCAAAGAGTGTCTCACTCTCAACCTTATCTTCACAAGTAAAAAGTTCTTGAAAACGACCGAATATTTCTGAGCGGTGTTCCTGTTGCACATTGTTCTTCGCATTTAATAAATGTCTCCAAAATGCTTGCAAAATATGAAATTTGCAGAGGAGTAGTTTGGCACCTGGAAAAGCATTCCGTAGACTATTGCGCTCACATGTTGAATCGTCTGTCATAATAACACCAGGCTCCATGTTTCCAAAGAAAGCACTTGTTGGCAAAATTTCTTTGAAAAGTGTCAACCCTTTGGTGAAACTGTTTTCAGATTCAGAAAAAAGAATCACAATGCCTACTGGAAGAGCTCCTGCGACACTAGGTGCCAGCAATGTAAACACTCTATTGCGGTGTCTATCCTCTGAACCTGAATAATCAACAAACATGATTTCAGATGAAGATTTTAAATGTTCATGTACCCGCTTCATAAAAGGGGTACAAATTGACACAACTATTTCATTTGAATCTTGTTCAAAGTACAATTTTGCTGCCTCGATTTTACATTTTGAATTATAATTCTCAATCAAATTCTCTAATGATTTTATCATTTGTATACCATCTTGCTTCCCGTATACCTTTTTAAATTCTACATATTTGTTGAAAGCCCATCTCAAAGAGGGACAAAACGCTCCGTCAGCTGCATACTTGAAGTAATCCTCTCCATACAACTCTTGTAAGTCATACTTCACAATATCCAGAGCAGTTCTTGGAGAATGCCCTGAGGCAAACAGTTCCATTATTTTCCTCTCCGTTTCCGGATGGGGTCGTCTGTGACGCAACGCATCTTCATCACCAATCAAATGATTGTGCTTGTGCTTAATATAAATTTCACAAGGATGCGTAGCCAACAGACGATCCTTGCTTCTGGAATTTACAAGAACAACGTTTCAGCTATACTTGAATGCATAACACTTACAACAACAAAACACCTCGTACCTTTTCATTTTTGAGTTCTTTATTGTTATTCTTAAGAGTGCCGGACAGTTGGTGTTCTTAGCTGAAGGACATTTAGTTTTAGAAGATGGGTAATTTGCTCCAGTATTGCGATGACAACGATAATCAACCTGGAATACAAGTAGGTCCACGGTAGATTTATTTATATTATTTATCATTGGTGTGACCATTCATCACGGTTTTTCCGTGGTCATCAGAATTACCCACAGCTTTTGACTGCCATATAAATTATGTAGTTAAACTTTATTATTGAAGGCAATTTATTGATGGTTTTGAAAAACATTCCCATTCACACTAAAATAGAAAATTGTTCTCTTCTTTATCATTGAAGAGGTAGGTTAGGCAACATAAAAAGTGTTATTCTAACTGATGTGAAATGATGCAAAATACTTATGAAACAGCCATTGTGTTGCAGTTACAGCAGTTTAATTTCCGTGTTTGAACATGATAATGAATAACGCTCTAATGAATGAAGCTCACTTTTTGTCCCAAACTGTTTTAAATGTTCCTGGCATGAGAATGATTTATTTTCCAACCAACTTTTGAGTACTTTCCCATCAACCAATCAGAATCAATTAATTGGCATTAGAAAACTTTTAAGCACAGTTATCCACAGTCAGTCAAGGATTTGAAAAACAAGATACACCACAGATTTTTTTATAATTATCGATTACAAAACTGTCAGTGGACAAGACATAAGAACCAATATAGACAGCAACCAATCAAACACAAGCAAAATAATGTTTTTTTATTAGCAATATTTTTACTTTAGTTTTATAAGATAACATAAAATGTATTTTTAAAATATATTTATAGGGTGAATTATTGTTTTGTATATAAGCTTTTACTTTAACATTTCACAGCTTTTTTTAAACACTAGTGACGCTACAACAACACACACTTCCTCGCATTATTTTTAACTGCTCTACTATATTACACTACATAAAATTGCAAAGGTGTTTTCAACTAGCAGGAATTATTTATTCACCAAGATTTTTAAGTTAATTAACATGCACAAAACACCTATCTGCAAGGTTTTTTGAATATTGTAAAAGGGCAATTTTTGAGGGCGTCTTCAACGAAAACCTGTACTGAGCGTCCTTTATTCTATCCGAAGACAAAGTTTAATTAAAGCATTTGATTTTAATAAAATTTAGAATTTAATTAAAGAAGTCGTTTTAAAAATAATTTGAAAATTGTTTTGAGGCTTTATGTAAAATCCCCTCCAAAATTAAATGATCGGTCTGACAAACCCAAAGCTCCGAGTTTGTTCAGATCGATTAGGGAATATCGATTTTGGGGACAATAGGGAGTATGTGACACCCCGTTAAAGCACTATCGATCTTCTACGCATGCGCATTCTAAGTTTCGCACCACTTAAGTGCACCTGCGCATGCGCAAAATATCGATATGGATCGATATAGATGGCGCTACGGCGCGCGTAAACTCCCTAATCAGCCGAACGGTTTAGAGGCGCTAGCTTGACCACGGACGAGGGGACAGACTTTTATCGTCAACCAATTTTTCAGTATTAAGGACCCACAAAACAGGTAGTTTGCATACATCGTTAGAGGAGGTAATTTCCTACATACAGGAACAGAATTTATTCAGTTTTTCGTTACCAGAGCCCACAAGAATTTTTATGACTAAAATTCGCCTTTTTTTGCGCACAATTACAAAACTCTTTCTTACATTCGTAAGGGCGAGAAAGTAAAAATGTATTTTGGGTGCAAATGGATGGCAGCTGAGGCGGGGTAACACCGAATATCGAAACCAGACTTAAGAGATAAGTAAACTAGTACGAGAAAGTCTGTGCCATTCTGTAGCTCCGCCAGTTTTAATGTAAAATGCCGTCATATTGTTATTGAAGTTCCTCTTCAATATTCAAGCCCTCCACGTGACAGTGAAGTGACTGGCGATACAATTTCTGACAAACTGCTACCCAAAAGCTGTTTTACTGGAAATGACGGATAAATTATGGTCACCCTATGCACAATAATTTTATATTTCACAGTTCCTACCTTGAATGTAACCTTTGATGAATTTTCATTCCGATCGGGATACGTTCTCAAAATTCTAAAATTCAGTTTGTTGGTTTCTTCAAACTGACGCAGCCAAGAATGCGCATCATCCCTCGAAAATAAATTTGCTCGTATCTCAGCCTCAAATTCATTGTCGCTTTCTTTCAAAAATTGTGGAACTACGTAGTTATACGAAGCTGGAAGAAAGTTCTGAAAAAGGTTTCACAAAATAGCAGCAAAGTGTGTTTCCATGAATGAAAAGAAAAACAACAGGTAAATAGAAATACAAAATCATTTTTAAGTCAATAAACACCTATCCACAAGGTTTTCATAAACATCGTGAATCAAATACTCGAAAGTCGAAAGCAGGCTCTCGTGGCCTTTCACCACTGAGATTCCGGGTTCGATTCACGTAAAATCCCCGTAGAACCCCATGTGAAATTTGTTACAAAACCAGTTAGCATGCTTCACAGGGGCTAGTCCGACCAATGTGAAGCGTCCTAAACCTTACCACTACCCTTATTCCTTCCCAATTCTGGCCGACGGGTAGATGACGCAGGACGCGTGCGAGCGCGGAAACGCTACCGACTGCGACTGATGTGACTTGACTACCCAGCGGACCCTAGAGGGTGTTGGGTGCATAATAGGGAGTTTTAGCGCCAGGCGTAAGAAGATATCCTTAAACTCTATTGATCACCTGACTAACGCCTTCATA